TAAAAAATTCTATGGTTGGAATATTTTAAGACAATTTCTCTACTTTAAACAAAGCCAAACAAGCACTGTTCTATGAGAGTTCATATTAAAAATTAGTATCACTTGATCCTTGATTGCAGTGATATGACTGGGTGGCCTTAATACAGAAAGGAAAGCAATTGGGAGGCACACACAAATTTTATACAAGTAAAATAGAAATGGCCAATAGGTGGAGTGAGTCATATGCTACAGCATGCGATTCAGAATCAGGAGGGATATAGTGTTTCCAAAGTAAAGATATATATTTCACCATGCATTAGAATATGGATGCATTTACATTATATTCTCACATATAGTTCCTAACATCAAATTGCTAACTGGGTTCCTCTCATTAACTTACCCATACTATACAGAATATAGTTTATATAGAAAGCTTCATTTTATTTCTTGTAGAATGATTATACATTTAAAAAAAAACTGTGGACTAAAACGTAAAAAAAAGGTAATTTCATATTTATATTATTATATTCAAATTCAAAATTACAGTAGAACTCACTCAGCTCTTACTACAAATAACTTGTGGATTAGTGATTTAGTTTATAAGCAAATGTGAAGCCTTGCACTCCAAGAACACAAAAACACAATAGCTTACTTTGCACAAAGCTTAGAATAACTCACTGTTTTTATAGTAAACTACAAAGCTTTTAAGAATACTTCAAGTATTTGTTTTGAACAGAGAAACATAAAATATGAACTATTTGAATATGCAATAATTTGTGGAAAAGTATTAAATTACTATAACTACAGCTTCACTTCAGCTTTCCAAAATGGAATATGCATTTAGTGAAATTAATTTTTCAAAACCAAACTCCTGAAACCATTATGTTAGTAAAAAGAATAGTTTAATACAACAGGGGGAAATACTTACAGTTTGCTAAGAGAGGTGTGGTTGACACCTCATTTCCTCTGTGTTTGTTGGTTAAGGTAGTTGACTGTTTTATGGGTGAGAAGTGCTTTGTTGTAGAGGGAGTGTAGACATGCCTCACTTGGATTCCCGGAGAAGGAGATGTATGAATATTGCATTCAGCTAAGTAAAATAAATGTAAACACATTAAAATAATATTTTAATGACAAAGTATTGCAAAGTTCTATGTCAATGTTTACATTAAAAAAGAACTACATGTGGTATATAGTTAAGTTTGTTTCTCAAGTGATAGTAAACTATTTTTTGCCATAAAATGTCTGTACTACCATAGTGAATGCTCCAGAAAAAATTTGTATTAATGTTGAGCAATTTTATTCTGGAATTAGTATTTTTACTCAATAGATTGTTATAAAAGTAAATCTACAGTATGATGACAGATTTCACTGAATTAAAGCACAGGAAGGACGCTAATGCTAATAAAGTATTCATAGAAAAGGGAATATTAGGCTAATTCATTTTTAAAAGGCACCAATAATATTTTTCTCCTATGACTTAAAAAAGAACAATAAGGAACTTTATTAGAAAATTTCTAAATAAACAGAAGTTAAGCAAAAAAAAAAAAAAAATCAGCATGTACTTATAAACATTATATAAACATAAAGTAATTTAATTTTGGTTTCTGTGAGATTCTAGATAATCATATTAAAAATGACTTCCAAACTTACTTCCCAAACTCAAAATCTCATTAGAAAGGAAAGAAAAAACACACACCAAATAAATAAAACCAAAACAAATGCAGATATTTATACCATAACTTTCAACCTTTAAATAGGACAGATGCCACCTCCAGGTCAGAGTTAACCTGATCTTGAATATTTTTACTATCCTCTTCATTTAAGGACTTCACAAATCGAGAACACACGTTCATATCAAATCGGTTAGGCAATATGAATTTCATTCCCATGGCAACACCCTGAGCTGATCCTTCTTCTGCATTCGAGTCCAGCTGATGTTCTATTTTAATGTCTGGCATGCCAGTTAGACTATAACTGCTGGGACACTCTTCTACTATCAGCTGGGCTCCAAGATCCAGATTTGCTGATGTAGCCATGATTTCAACTGTAGTTTCAATAATTAAAACATTTCTTCATAATTTCCTCTTGGTTTTTTAAGAGTGGTATCCAGTGTATTTTTGAAATTTGTATATTAAAAAAATCTGAAAGAAAAAAAATTAAAAATATTATATCAACTTAGGTAAAAGTGCATAAAATAATAATTTTTAATCAAGTGTGCAAACAATGCTCTTATAAGCACCTATTAATAACAGAAAGCATACAATGTTCATAGGGAGAGAACCTGGATATAAATCCAAGCTTCACCACTTATTAGCTGTGTGAACCTGTGCAAGTTACTCAACCTCTCTAAGCCTTAGCCTCACTTGTAAAATAGGGATACCACCATTAACCTCACAGGATCCTGGTAGACCAAATAAAATACAGTAACATTTTCACCTCCATCACTAGGTTCTAACAAATTTTAGTCACCCTTTTCTCCCCTTTCCTATTCCTGAATATTGCCAAATGCATAAAAGATCAAGCTAACAATAAAACATAAACTTTCATGTGAAAACTTTAACCTCTCACCTTAGGTTCATTTTTAGCATGCTATGTTTATAAGTGGCTCTCAGTTTGAATTTAAGGTACAACTCATGTTGTACCCAAGTGTATTGGAATCCACAGCACCTGTGATTCCTGGATAGTGAAAGACTATACAAAGCTTTGGTTATGATAAACTGAAATTATAGTTCTTTATCAGTTTTTGTGCAGATCTTGTGTTACCAACCTAATTTAGGTTTTTGTGAAAATAAAGTGTGGAGATTATAGATTGGCTTCCTTTGCTTTAGCATCTCTAGGACAACAGGATCTCAACCTTTGTAATAAGTATTAAGAATGATTTAAAAAAATATATAGTAATGTCGAGACGTGAACTCAAAAATACTAACTCTCAAAGCACAGATTATAAGCACATTTGTTATTGAATCATTTACTATTATTTTAAAATTAGTTTTCAGTAATCACTGGCACTTCCCTATGAACCTGAATATAATTTTAAGAGACATTTCACTGTTGTACCTAAAATTGGTTCTAAAAAAAGAACTCTAAGATATATAATTGTCCTAGATTATAATCACTGAGACATGAAGACAACAGTTAATTATTTCATGTTAGCGTTTACTGCCTCTTAGAAGTTTTGAGAGGGTGTAGGGTGTTTAAAATAGAAGAATTTAGGATCACAGTGAAGCAGAGGTTGGCAAACCATACATTTACTGGTAAACATTCTCCAAGAATGATCCTTATAACAATCCATTCCATACATTTACTGGTAAACATTCTCCAAGAATGATCCTTATAACAATCCATTGAGTATTCAGGGCAGGTAATCATTATGTCCACCACAGAGAAGAGGAAATGGGAGCTCATGAATTATGAGGGACTATCCAGCTCTCCTCACTCCATCACACTGTCCACTACAATAAGCAGCAGCACTAAACTAATCCAAAACCTCCATGGGAAAAAGAGTTGAAGAAATAACAAATTGTAATAATAATCTGAAAAAAAAGAAAGTAACAGATAACAAAGTCAATACACTTTAGCAGAAACAAAGAAGGAAACCAGAGTAGAATATAAGATATGAACTGTGTTTCCTTAGCTGAGAGTCAGCCCTACTGACTCCTACCCTGAGGAGGCCTAAGTGCAACTCCCCTGGGCTCTCTCAGCACCTGAACATATTTCATCCTCTTGAAGATTTTCATTTCAACACCCCCAAAATGAAAAACTCCTCTAGAATGGGGACTAATCTTACTAATTTTGCACACAAAACAGTGCTTGGTCCTATCAGGTATTCCGTAAATATTTTTTGCTCTAAACTTTAACATGTGTCATATTGTTTTCTATTCTGAAATGACCTTGCATGAAGCTCAACAGACATTGCTGATTACATCCTGCGTTCCATTCCCAACAACACTACTAACTAGCTGTGCAATCCTGGACAGACAAATCATGTAAGTCTTCTGAGATTCATTTTATTCATCCATAAAATAAAGATGGTTGAAATAGGCATCTCTAATAGACTTTCCAGCTCTAAACATCTTCCATGTAATAAATCAGGGATTATAGATGGAACCACGGGTCTTTGAAGGGAGGAGTGAAAATGTATTTGAGGGAGGAAGGAGCAGAAATAGAATGCTTATCTTGGCACTACTCTAGTGAGAAGCAAAGTTCACTGGTTACGCCAAAAATTTGAATTATAGGAGGGAAAAAAGGATGATCGGGAAGAGAAGGCGGTGAGAAAGGAGGGAAGGCCAAGGATCCCCTCGATCTGGCAGAGCCCAGGGCCAGAGAGAGAGCCTAACGAGACAAAGTGGGCAACTGTGCTAGTCCGCAAAGGGCGCTAACAACAGGTGCCTCCCGGTTCTTCCTAATCCTGGAATTGTCCTACAAGGGAAGGAAAAGTGCTATGAAAATGAATGATGCCTCACAGGCGACAGGGGTCCCGGCGTCCCAGGGCAGGAGCCCGCTAGGGGGGAGACTGCAGTGGGGAGGGAAGTCCCGGCGCGGCTCGGGGACGGCTGGCGGGCACTCTGGCTCACCCGCGGCGGGCGGGTCCAGGGGACAGGGGCCTGGGGCCGACCGGGTGGGAGCGCAGAGCCTCGCGACCACCTTCGACAGCCAACAGCGAGTTGGGCCTTTCCATCAGCGGCCACAGGTTCACTACAGGCCCTCAAGCCCCGGCTTGTTTTGACCGCGACGTCACTTCCGATTTCTTCTTTCGCTTTCGGGATAGAAAACGTCCCGCATCACTGCAGCCGCGAGGCTTTCCGGGTCCTTCCCGGCCGCTGCGCCGCGCGGTGCTGGACGCCCGAGTACTACAGAGGCAGGGTCATTTCAGTGGGCCACTCGGACCAGTGCCAGGCCCGAGCTCGCCCTAGGGTCACGCCTCCTCCTCCCCATCGCCCCGCCCACCCGACCTGCCCCGCGACGCCCGGACGGCGAGAGTCGGCGGGCCTGGGCCGTTACGTCATCACCGGGCGACCAGCGTGGCCGTTCTATCCGCCGTGTGTCTCGGAGACTCCCTGTAGGATCCATGTGATCAGCTCCAAGTGATTCTGGGCAGCCCAGGGAGGGGCCTGGCGGAATCCAAGAAATTCTCCTTGACGCTCGGGGTCTCAACGGACCGTCGGGGCCCATCGGAGGTAGGTGAAGGCGGCTCCCAGCGTGGGTAGCCTAGACTCACGTTGGGCCTTCCTTGGTATCTGGCATGCTCCTCTGGGGCCCCCAGTCTCCTCAGGATGGCTCAACTCCTTAACCAGCCCCTGAGGATCCCTCAGTTTCGCTTCGACCCAGATTTTCCTCCTTTACAGTCACATCATCTCACACTTAACACTGTGATTCGTCCTTGGAGTGATCCGCACCCTTGCAGCGCAGTGGGCGAATTGCCATCTCTGTCCTCTGTCTGTGCTTATGAGGTCCCCCCAGTTTCGAATGCTTCCTCCTGCGCCCCCACCTCTGCGCGCATCTTAAGTGGTCAGTCTGTTTAAATATTATTCTTCAAAGCCCAGCTGAAATGCATACTTTGTATCTGTCCGGGAGCCGCCCAGTTAGAATTAAAAATCTCTCCCTAACTCTCAGTACTCTGTACGGTACATATAGAATATATTTGATACTCTGCTGTGGTACTTTTACTCATTTAGTACCAATTTCTCAGGCTCTGGCCTCTCCTTGGTCATGTTTTTACTTTTCATTTTCACCTCACTTCGTGCCTTCGTGCCTTTGCACTGTGTCGTGCTACCCCGGCTGCCAGCGCTGTTTCTCGCGTTAATCTGAACCACTGCTATTGCTCCTCAGTCCTTTCTCCTAAAGTTTTAAACTGTTTCTCTCAGGACACAGCTATGTGCTCTTTTGCCTGTACTCTATCTAGTATGGTGCAAAGTCCTGCAGGCTGCATCTGGCCTGGTGCTTGTTTTTGGGTAGCCAGTGAGCCAGAATGATTTTTACAGATGAACATTTGCAGTCTATTTGAGGATAGGAAACACTAACTTTGAACCTGAAGTAAGTGAAATAGTCTCCTCCTCCTCCAAAGAATTCTATTTTCATTCATAAATAAAAAAAATTGTACTCATAAACTATTTTTGGGGTTTCATTAGTAAAAGTATTGGAAATTTTCTTCTTACTATGTAAATAACTACATAATATCTTCTGTTTTGCCTGTTGGCCTGCGAAGCCGAAAATATTTATCATCTATCCCTTTATGGAAAAAGTTTGCCAACCCCTGCTCTATAGTAATGTTCACTTGTGATTTAAATTTTGTGTTTTCCCATAGAATCTAACACAATGCTTTCTTTCCTTCCTTCCACAAACATCCTTTGAGCACTTAAGAAAACCTTCCAGACAGGATGTGTTCAGTTTTTTTTAAAAAAATGTTCAGTTTAATCACACATGTGATTATGTGCATATCTGTGCAGTCAAGTAGGATTATAGAAAACAGGCCCTGACCCAGTTTAGGGGGGGTCAGAAATATTTTCCTGGGGGATGTGATCCTTGGGTTGAGCTCTAAGTGATAAATAGAAAGTAAGTAGAAAGAGGTCATTCCTGGCAGAGGACAAATGAGCAAAGACATTGAAAGAAAAAGCATTTTAAGGGAATACAAGAGGTGAGGCTGAAAAGGTAAGCAAGGGCCAGATCACAGAGGCCTTTCATGCCATGTTTAGCAGCTTGGGCCTTCTTTTCTGGGCATTGTTGGGCTTTGTAGCAAAAGCCAGATTTGCATCATAGTTAGATAACTCTGATGGCTATTTGGAAGATGGATGAGGGAGTTAGGGAGACCTTAATGTTGCACTATTTCAGTAGATGAGAAGATCTGAATTAGGGCAGTGGAACTAGGGGAAGTGAACACAATGAAGTTGAGAAAGATTTGGGAAGTAAAATTAGCACATCTTTTTGGATGTTAGAAATGAGAAGAAAGGACAAGTCAAGGCTGATTCCAAATTCCTAGATCATGCCCAATCACAAGCTGAAGTGGAGAATATTGGAGTGTGTGAGAGTGCAGTTCTTGACTTTCAATCATCATTGTATCCCTATGCCTAGAACAGTGTCCTACACATTGTAAATACTTGAATGAACAGAAAAAATTTCCCTTTTTTTTATCATTGCTTACCATGTTTCATAAAAACAGCCTTTAAAATAAGTTGCACTTATATATTTTGGTGTTACTGATGCAGTATTTTCAAGCTTTCTGGAATAAATAAGTTACAACATTGGAATCATTCACTTGATAAAATTGAATTTCTTGCAACTGAATAGTTCTGGAAAGACATTTTGGCTTAATTACATGCCAGTTAAAAGTTTTAATTCATTTTTATCCTATTCTCTCACTTTAATTTGTAATTTGATTTCAGAATTGCTTTATTCTTGTTTTCTTATTGTTTAAACATTTTAAAATTAATTTAAGCTTCTACATCAGAATATTAACTCTTAGGTTTATTTTCTTTTAAACTTTTAAATTTAATTTTAAGCTTCTACATTAGAACATTAGCTTTGTTTTCCTTTCTTTTTGGCATTATTAGACTTTCAGGAAGTCAAGTCCCTAGACTGTTTTCTTAAAGATTACATGTCATTTAAAAAATTTTTTTTTTTTTTAATTTTAGAGAGAGAGGAAGGGAGAAAACCTCGATGTGAGAGAACTTTGATTGGCCGCCTCCTGCATGCCCTCCACGGGAAATCGGGCCCAAAACCTAGGCCTGTGTCCTGACCAGGAATCGAACCAGTGACCTCTTGGTGCATGGGTCGATGCTCAACCACTGAGCCACACCGGCCGGGGGAGATTACATGTCACTTTAATTTAGTTTTAGGAAACTTGCATTTGTAATTTCACCTTCAATAAATGATCATTCTAAGCCATATTTCTCTCTGCTCTGGCTGCTGGATGGCTAAGTCAGATCTATTCCCAAGTGTTATAAATTGGTCAGTTAGGTGTGAGAACATTTGTGTATTGCCTCTGTGTATAGCCGAGTAGATGGTACAATATGGTAGCCCTCTCTGTGGTCTTTCTGCTTCCTTTAGATTGTTTTTTCTGTTTTATAATTAAATGGGTTATTGATCACTGAGCTACTATACAGCCTTTTGAAAGGGCAGAGAGTGAAAATCATGACTATACAGATACAAGTTTATGAATAACATTTATATAAAATGTTTTCTTTTTCAGACGTAAGGCAGAATCACTACCATTATTTCTAACACCAGTTTCACACTACTTACTTTTGGATAACAGTCCAGTTATATGAAATTATGGCTGGTTATAAGCCTGTAGCTATTCAGGCATATCCTATACTTGGTGAAAAAATCACCCAAGATACATTATACTGGAACAACTATAAGGTAAGTATTTATGCCAATTTCTCCAGCATGTGTTATACTTTGGATACTCCAGTAGAGAACTAATAACTAAAAAGAATCTGTCAGCAGCTTGTAGTTTGGGCAGAAAATTTGATACCTTATATTTCTTTGGAATTTTTAAAAAATACATTTTTTTCTTTATTAGTTTTAGAGAGAGAGGAAGGAAGATGGAGAGAGAAATAGAAATGTCGATGAGAGAGAACATCGATTGGCTGCCTCCTGCATACCCCACACTGGGGACTTGGTTCACAACCTGGGCATGTGCCTTGACCAGGAATTGAACCTGCAACCTCCTGGTGCACAGATCGACGCTCAACCAGTAAGCCGCACTGGCCAGGCTATATCTTTGGAATTTTATATAAAAGTCCATCCTGCTTAATCAGTTTAATCATACAAGTGCCTAGAACAGAACAGTTAATCAACAACAAATGAATTACATTTTAGAATTTGAATCTCAAATGCAAGGTTTTTAATTTTAAAAAATATGTTTATTTTAATTAATTAATTACTTTTATTTTATTTTTGTTACAGAAGTTTCTCCTTTTTTTCCCCATTGACATCCTCCTCCCCATCCCCCCCGCCCTGTCCCCGGCTTTGTTGTCCGTGTCCATTGGTTATGCGTACATGCATATAAGTTCTGTAGTTTATCTCTTCCCTCCCCCCCACCCCCTCCTCTGAGGGTTGTCAGTCTGTACCCTACTTCCATGTCTCTGGGTCTGCCCTATTCCTCAGACTGTTATGTTCATTATATTCCACAAATAAGTGAGATCATGTGGTATTTGTCTTTCTCTGCTTGGCTTGTTTTGCTTAGGATAGCACTTTCCAGGTCCCTCCATGTTGTCTCAAAGGATAAGAAATCTATCTTTCTTACAGCTGCATAGTACTACATCGTGTATATGTACCACAGCTTTTTTATCCATTCGTCTACTGATGGACACTTGGGCTGTTTCCAGATCTTAGCTATTGTAAATAGTGCTGCTATGAACATGGGGGTACATATATTCTTTATTGATTTGTTTTAGAGAGAGAGAGGTAGAAACATCGATGTGAGAGAGAAACATCCATCAGCTGCCTCCTGCATGCCCCCTACTAGGGATCGAGCCCACAATCCTGGCATGTGCCCTGACTGGGAACAGAATTAGGACCTCTCAGTCCATGGGAGGAGCTGGGTGCACTGAGCCACACCTGCCAGGCTGCAAGGTTTTTTTTGTTTTTTTTTGCTTTTCTTAATCTAAAGAGGAAGTGATGCAAAATTAATTCTAGACTATAAAGACAAGTGATTTTGTAAAAAGGATGAACAACAAAATGGGAAAAGATTGAGAGTAGGAGATTAATGCAAGTAGAAATTTAGTATATGGGCTGCCATAGAGAGCATACGAAAAATATTTAAATAGCCAATAAATATAAATCTATTGAAAGCATCTCATCTTCACTCATAATGAAAGAAATGCAAATTAAAACAATAATTTGGATACTGGTTTGGATACAAGTGAGACATTTTGATTTACTACTTGAGGGAGAGAAATTGGTGCAAACTTTCTGGAGGGCAGTTTGGCATTATCTAACCTGATCTTTCAGCTTTGTAAATGCCACAGCTTGGAACTTATTCAGTGAATATACTCCCCCAAATTTGTTAAGATATATGTAAAAAGATGTTCATTGAAGTATTATTTGTAATATTAGAAATCTCAGAAAAACCTGTGTCCATTAGTACTGGACTGGTAAAATAAATTATGGTGTATCCTGTAATGGATGATAAATCTATTGCTCATATTAAAAGTTAGCTAAGATGTGGTTTGAAGTGAGAAAAAAAAGCAAGGTGCGGAACAGCCTGTGTGGTATGATCTTTGTGTCAGTTAAACACATTCTTCAGTGTATGCTGGTGTAGCCATAACTTTATCCCCCCAATAATAATCACAGAAAACTCCACAGCTGAAGAGAATGAGTGGGGTATGGCTTTCCAACCATATACTTATATACTTCAGTGGCCACAGGAATAGGATAGGGTGATGGGATTTGGACCCTTTGCTTTCTTCATACTTCTGTGTTAAATACAACCTAGTAAATGTTACTAAGAAGAACAACAAAAAATGGTCAGTAAGAAATTATATAGTGCTTGAATATGTATTACCAGTTGTAACTCTGTTGATACTGCAATTGTTAATACTCTGTATTATTTTTTATTAAGACCCCTGTTCAGATCAAGGAGTTTGGTGCAGTGTCAAAAGTAGACTTTTCTCCACAACCTCCATATAATTATGCTGTCACAGCATCTTCAAGGGTAAGTATAACATTGCTTTTATTTTTGATTTGTATAGTTTATATTTACTACTGATTGTGAGCCATCTGGTGAAATACTATGTTTTTTATCTTATAGATTCACATTTATGGCCGATACTCCCAAGAACCTATAAAAACCTTTTCCCGATTTAAAGACACAGCATACTGTGCTACTTTTCGACAGGATGGTAGATTGCTTGTGGCTGGCAGTGAAGATGGTGGTGTTCAGCTTTTTGATATAACTGGGAGGGCTCCCCTCAGGCAGTTTGAAGGCCATACTAAGTAAGAAACAGTTAAAAAAATTTTTTTTAAATTGAGGTATAATGAACACACAACATTATATTAATTTCAGGTGTATAACATAGTGATTTGATATCTGTATAGATTGCAAAATGATTACAATAAGTCTAATTCATTTTTTCACCATACAGTTACAGACAGTTGGTTTTCATGTGTTTTTGTTTTGTTTCGTAACCTCTATTTGTTTTCTGGGCTTTGAATAAAACATAGAGACCATTATGTACCTTTATGTACTTTATCTCCTGGTTATTCTAAGACAGAATCTGTATCCTGGTTCAGTCCTAAGGTCCTGTTTGATGGGGCTCACAAATTCTCTAGAATTGTATGTGACATTTTAGCAATGGATATTAATCTAGGAAGACACCCTGTGAGTTCTGTGACCCGACTGAGATTATGAACCACTGATTTAAAGGTAGCCTCACGACTGTTAATGAGAACTTTATAAGCCTGGACTGTATTAGAAGTTCTCATTTTAAAGTCAGTTGGAAGGTGGATTTTCTTTTATTCTTGGATTTAGCACTTTGCCCCTTGATAAATTGAATTGTCAGGGCAATTTTATATTAGAACTTTGTTTCAGTATTTCCAATGTCTTTGCTATAATTTGCTATTGATTTAAATTCTCAAGAGTGTTTTTTATATTGTAGTATCAGGATGGTCTTGCCCATCAGTGAAACATTTAAAATATAACAAATTCATTTAACATGATCCTACTTAATGGTAAATCTTAGAATTTTTTAAAGAACTACCCATTTTGAAAATTTTAAATAAAAGTAACTTTGTATCAACATTTAGAATATTTACTTTCTTAGAGCAGCTAAGTAGAATGGTTAATGTATTAGAAAATATAACTTTAAGGTATTGTTTAATATATTTACTTCACAGTGTATGAGTATTTAAAATTTTTAATTAGCTTGAGGACAAACACCTGTTTTAAAGATTTTCTTTTTCTCTCATGATTCCACCCTGCAGTTATTCCCTGAAATTGAACTGCTTTTTTTACCATTTGGGGAAAAGGAGTGTTTTATGTTAGAAGGTGCCAGAAGTATAATGTTTTCTTGCTTTTTAATATACTGATCCTTGATCTTTCAGAGCAGTTCATACAGTAGATTTTACAGCTGACAAATACCATGTGGTCTCTGGGGCTGATGATTATACAGTTAAATTATGGGATATTCCAAACTCCAAAGAAATTCTGACATTCAGAGAACATTCTGATTATGTGAGGTGTGGGTGTGCTAGTAAACTGAACTCAGATCTCTTTGTAACAGGTTGGTAAACTCTTTTTTTTTCTCCTGAAATTAATAACTTTATTGTTCTAGACTTTAATATGCTTTGGGACTCTTTTGGGATAGAGGAGTTAAAAAAATATTTATAAAGAAATATGTTTTTATTTATCTAGTTGTTTTCTTTTTCTTTTTTTGGTGATTGCTCTTATTGTCCTCCAAATACATTTGGAAACATCAGGCTCCTTGAAAACATAAGATAGTCAGAACTATAATGGGTTTAGTACTCTGATTTCAGAGTGTCTAGCAGCCAAGAAACAAAGACAATGCAGTCAGTCTTTGTGGGTGCCTGTGCAGAGGTTCCCAGATGATTCAGTAGTGACAGAGCCTGAAGATAGGAATAGTTTAAGATTCTGTGTAATGTAATGATGTGCTTCTTCAAAAAGTCAGTGGTACCAAAGAGTTTGGAGGTACTATATCTTTATAAATTTACATATGTCTTTAAAAAATGTATCTAAGCCTTTCTCCTTTTAAAATTTATGTTTGAATACACATACATGCACATATACACAATATATAGTTTTTGTTATTTTGAGTAGTGAAACTCACATAATACAAAAATTGACATTTTTAGGCTCATATGATCATACTGTGAAGATGTTTGATACACGAACAAACAAGAGTGTTATCTCTGTTGAGCATGGGCAGCCAGTGGAGAGTGTCCTGCTTTTTCCCTCTGGAGGTCTTCTGGTATCAGCAGGTATTTCTTTTTAAAATTGTTTTTACCAATATTTTTGGTCTTGAACCAGGTCATTTCTTTATCAGTTACTTTTTGTAATTTATCAGTGTTCACTTGAATTGCCTATGTAGGTGTTTGCTCAAAAAACAATTGATAAGTGGGACAGGCAAGCAGTTATTTATTGAGTACCTAATGTGAACCAGACACTATGCTTTTATACAGGTATATTATCTCTGATGCCCTATATGAGCCCAAAAGGTAGTTAGTTTTCTCCCTATTTTGCAATTAAGGAAATAAATAAAAATTTTAACTAATTTGTCCAAGGCAAAATGGTAAGTAAATCCGAAATCCCAGAACTTGAGAGCTTACTTATGTCCTTAACCTAGAAACCCAGGTTGTACACCTGCTGTTATTTAAGAGATCCGTGGCAGCTTTTGAAAACAGTTTCTTTCAGATGTAGACTCAGGCTTTTTTCTTTTCATGTGACTCTTGGTGTAATGGCCTTATCCAGCAAATAGCAGCTGATGCTGGAGGAGGAGGTAGTGTGAGGTTAAAAGAGGTCGTTGTTACATTTTTCATCTAGTTGGAACTTAGGTGTTTTTGTTATGTTGATCATAGTACATTTTCAAAATTATAATGGAAGAAGTAAATTGGCTGTTTTCATTTGTCAAGTCCAAATTAATGTGTTGACTTTAGAAGAATATATAGGTAATATGTTTACTTCATAGCGTGTACATGGCTGTGTGTAGCCTTTTTTAAAAAATTCTGAAATTATTCTGTTTTATACTCTTTTCCCCAGTACCTGTTTGATTTCAAAATAAGTTGATAACATTGTCAGACATGTCTATTTGTCTTGCTGTTGTTTGAGAAATGGAAAGTTCAAGATGAACAGGGACAGTAGGTACCTGTATGCTAATCTCCATTGTGCCCCTGGTTATGTGACCTTGAGCAATCCCTTAACTTCTGTAGATCTTGAAAATGAGAAGTTGGGCTAGATCAGTGGTTTCAAACTGTCTCTCTCTCATGAGACGCCAAATGCGAGGAGACAGGGATTGTGAATTGGGTTCCAAGCCCTTTTGTGTAGTCAGGATAGGTAAGAAATTTGCTCCCCCCTCCACAACTCCTTTTTCTATTTTACCTATTAAAATTTTGCTTAACATTTAATTGAAAGAAAAAATGCTGTAGTAAAAAAATTCTTTTTAAATCATTGGATTAAATTGCCTTTTAGGATCCTTCCAACTCTTAGAGTAAAACAAAAGTAAAAAAAAAAAACAATTACCAGTTTCATTGGGATTCTCAAAATTTTAGGGAAATATAATCTACATTATTTCTGTGGTTTTGCAACGTTTCTTTTGAAGAATGCTTTTATTATAATTTTCTTAAAATCTTTTGGTTTTACTTTTTAGTTTACCAGGTAGTCCTGTGTACTTTACAAATGTAGAATTATTTCATTGTTATAACAGCCCTGTGAGGTAGGAACTATTATTATTATCAGTTACACACCTAGTACATGGTCAGGTTAGTTTTGAAACCAGGCAGTCTGCTCCGGAATCCCTCTGTGCTATGGACCGTACAGTGAAGAATGCTTTCCAGATCTTTAAAAAATTTAATCTGTTGGTGGAATATCAAACTAATGATTATTTCTTTTTATAGGAGGTCGTTATGTTAAAGTCTGGGACATGCTAAAAGGTGGACAGTTGCTAGTGTCTTTGAAAAATCATCATAAAACTGTAACATGTTTATGTCTGAGCAGCTCTGGACAGAGGTTACTCTCTGGTTCACTGGACAGGTTAGCATTTTCATTTTCTTTCTTCATCATTATTAGTATACAAGTGTTTACTGCTTGAGGAAATTAGTTATTTCTGCAGTATTTGTGATAAAATAAGTATTCTGTGAACTGATTTCCATGAAAAAAATTCTGTTGAGTTGAAAATAGTTTTGACCTTTTATTTTCATATAGCAAATGTATTTTCTTCTTTGTTATAGTTTATTGCTTTAACTTATATACTTACAAATTTTAATCCTCACTTGAAGATACATGTTTTTATTGATTATAGAGTGAGGAAGGACGAGAGAGAGAGAAAAACATCGATGTGACAGAGAAACATTGATTGGTTGCCTCTTCTGCATGCCCTGGACTGGGGATCGAACCTGCAACCTGGGTATGTGCCCTGACCTGGAATCGAACCTGCAACCCATCGGTGCATAGGATGATGCTCCAGCCAAGTGAGCCACACCGGCCAGGGCATACTTAAGGAATTTTATTGAACCATTCAAACATTGTTTTTTTAAGACAGTCTATATTTTGTAGTTTCTTTTAAAATCATTATTATATATTTGCATATTTTCAAATGGTTATAATGAGTATATGTATATATTTTAGCTTATATTCTTTAAAATTTAAAACTTTATGTAAACATTTCTATATATTAATGTAGTCGAGTTATTACTATTTTAAATAGGTATTAGTATTCCATTAGTTAATATTCTAGAACAGTGCTATCCAGTAGAAATATAATGTGAGCAATATATGTTATTTAAAATATTTTAGTAGCCACATTAAAAAGCTAGGAAGAACTAGGTAAAATTGACTTAATCTAATATATCTAAAATACTATTTCAATATGTAATCAATGTAAAAATTGAGAGACTATAGCCCTGGCTGGTTTGGCTCAGTGGTTAGAGCATCGGCCTGCGGTCCGGAGAGACCCGGGTTCGGTTCCCGCTAAGGGCATGTACCTTGGTTGCAGTTTGTCCCCGGCCCTGGTTGGTTGTGCGGGTGGCGACCACTCGATGTGTTCCTTTCACATCGATGTTTCTCTCTCTCTCTGTTCCTCTCTCTCCCTCCCACTCTATCTGAACAAAGAATGGAAAAATGTCCTCGGGTGAGGATGATAAAAAAAAAAATTGAGAGACTATAAACAATTTGAGCATGTAATACATATTCTATGATGACAATAATATTTTACATTGATTAAAGTGAAATGTGCCAGTATTTAACAGGAAAATATTTTAATACTGTTTCAGCTTTAAAAATTTAAATTTAAGTTAATTAAAATTAAGGAAAATAAAAAATTAATTTCTTCATACTCACTAGCACATTTCAAGTGCTCAGTAGCCACATGTAGCTAGAACTATGGCATAGTTCTAGAATTCACTTATAGTCATCTATTGTTGGTCATTTCATCCATTATATTTCCCCCTGTTATGTAAAGCCTTGCTTTTTTCAGCCTGTTTATTAAGAAGTATACATATTTTAAAGCTACAAAGTATTCTTAATACAAAGGAATTTATTTTGTAAATATATAGCAAATTCTTTCTAATGGTGTTACCAGGCAATTTTGGACTTGATTTTTAGATATGTCCCTTAACAGCTACAAGTTGCTTTATCTGCAGTAGTTCTCAACTTAGAGTGATTTTTGTCCCCCAGGGTATATTTGGCAATATCTGGGGACATTTTGGTTGTGTCACAACTTTGGGGCTGAGAGCTGCTACTGTATAATGAGTAGAGGCCAAGGGTGCTGCTAAACATCCTGCAGTGCACAGAGCAGCCCTCACAGCAAAGACTCATCTGGCCCAAAATGTCACTGACGCTGAAGTTGAATAGCCTGCTCTTTTGACTTCCAGTGTACTTCCACTGATGCTTGTTCTTTACTCTCAAGGTCTATCTTCAGGAAACTGGTTCATGGTCTGTCTTTCTGGTGGCTAGTCAGAGCTTTTTTTTTTAATATGTTTTTATTGATTTTGTTAGAGAGAGAGGAAGGAAGAGAGAGATAAAAACATCGATGATAGAGAAACATCAATGGGCTGCCTCCTGCGCACCCCCTACTAGCCCGCAACCCTGGCTATGCCCTGACCAGGAATCGAATCAGATGTCTCAGTCCATGGGATGACTCTCAGTCCACTGAGCCACACCGGCCGGGCTAGTCAAAGCCTTTATACAAACATTATGACTAGTCCTAATAAATCGTTCTTTTTAAAAGAGAGATTCAGTGATGAATTAGTTTGTAATTAATATTACTAATCATTGTTTATCTTCATTGTGTAAATTTTAATATTCATATATTGAATTTTCAAAAATAGAAAATTTGCATTTTATACTTATTTCCAAGATGATCTGTGACGAAGCTGTCTTTTTTATTAGGAAGGTGAAAGTATACAGCACAACTTCCTACAAAGTAGTCCACAGTTTTGATTATGCAGCTTCAATTTTGAGTCTTGCACTTGCAGTAAGTACTTTTATTTCCTTTTAAAGCTTTCCTTAATCTTGCCTGTTAAATGAAACTAAAATGGAATGTTAGGGTTTATATTTGTATTTGAATAAGTCTTATTTTCTTCTTGCCACACTAGAGAATTGAATTAAGACAGTTACTAGAATATATTAACAATGCCAGTAACTTAGCATGTGTTCAGATTTAGGTCTCACTCACTGCATAGTTTCAAACCAAGTGCAGTGTAGGCATTGTTAACACTAATGACAGGACCTGGGAAGTTGATAAATATCTCTTCAAAACATCTAACTCAAGGGTTAAATACTTTAGAAAGTCAAATTGGCTCTTTGAGTAAAAAGAATAAAGAGGCGGGGGGAGAAGAGGGGACAACACAATGAAGTATCTCTTTTTCTTTGTTGACTGCTCATTCTGGAATGTCCACTGTCAAGTTTCATGAGCCATTGAGGAGGAGGATATTTGAATACATTAAATAGAAATCTAAATTGGGAGAGGAAAATCAATTATTTTCTTTGCTAGCGTGTAGAAAATCATGTCACTACCTAATCCTTTTTTTCCAGTAAGAGGATGCAGAAAAAAAATATTTTAAAGTTTTCCAAGATGTCATTAACTGTATATTATTATACAAACTGCCAGTGATAATTTACAACAGGTCTAAGTTCTGTCAATATAATAGTATCCTAGAGGAGAAAATGATTTTGCTCTAACTTTTTGCATAGATCATTGTTAGGCAGAGTATCTTTATCTGAATGGAACTCTTGGTGAAAGTATGGATAAGTAGCACACATGTTATAAATGGTATTTTGAAGAAAAGTGAGATAAATTATGAGTTAGGAATAGTCTAACCTATTTTTCTAATTCCTGTTAGCATGAAGATGAGACAATAGTTGTAGGAATGACCAATGGAATACTGAGTGTTAAACATCGGAAATCTGAAGCAAAGAAGGATTCTCTTCCCAGAAGAAGAAGGCCTGCATACAGAACTTATATTAAAGGGAAAAGTTATATGAAGCAACGGGTATTTATATATATATATTTTTTTAATGTGAAATTTGTTCTAGTAGCTGACTCTTTCCCTGCACATTACTGGAATATGCAGTTTACGTGGCATTTAACTTTATTTTGCTTCTCTCTGAGTAATCTCTAGATTGCTGGATTGGAGACCTAACAAACAAGCGGTGGGGAATAAGGACGTCTTTATTTAATACCCTGAATCATAACAATGTTTTAGTACTTTACCATACTCAGAGCGATGTCTTTCACACGCTGTCTGATTTATCTTCTAAAAATCCCTGAAATGTGGAAGAGTCAGTAATGTCTTCATTTGGTATCTGACAAGATGGAGACAGAGAAGTTGTCATTGATCCAGAATTTCATTACTGGTAACCAGAATTGTTGACTGGATCATAATTTCTCTGAATCTTGTTTTTTCTTTCTACTAAATCACATTGCCTGACATGTAAAGGGAATTGAAATCAGTAATGTTTTCCCAGAATTGAGGTATTGTGTTTGCATTGTAAGTTAAAATCACAGGAGAGTAAGAACATATTGATGTGACAAAATATTCCATTTTCATTGTATCTATATTATGGACATATGACCATTATTCATGAATAGTTTAGGAGTGCCCTGGTATAAAAAATACCATTATGAAAAAGTTTATTTTGAATGAAACTTTATACAGGTGTTGATTTTTCTCTATAAATTTACTTTTCAATGCAGGATGACATTTTAATCAACAGACCATCAAAAAAACACCTAGAATTGTATGATAGGGATCTGAAAAATTTCCGCATCTCCAAAGCACTTGACAGAGTCCTTGAGGTGAGTAAAGAGTAAGAGTGTGTGTGTGTGTGTATGTGTGTAGATATTTTTTAGAGCAGTTTTAGGTTCATAGCCAAATTGAAGGGAAGGTACAGAGATTTCCCACATAGCCCCTACCCCCACACTTGCACAGCTTCTTCCATTAACAACAGTTCCTACCAGAGTGGTACACTTATTACAATTGATGAACCTACAGGGAACGTGTATATATATATTTTGTTTGTTTTTGTTAATCCTCACCTGAGGATATTTTCCCTTGATTTTTAGATAGAGTGGAAGGGAGGGAGGGAGATAGAGATAGAAACATCATTGTGAGAGACATTGATTGGTTGTCTGCTCCCCGACTCTGATCCAGGATCAAACCTGGAGCCCAGGTACATGCCCTTGACCAGGAATCAAACCTGCAACCCTTCAGTCCGAAGGCTGATGGTCTAACCGCTGAGCCAAACTGGCCAGGGTGGGAACATATTTTTAAAAGAATCCTTTTATTATTGTCTTGTGCATTACCATGACTCAAAACTGTGAAGTTGAAAACATTTAAATCTGGCAATTGTTAGTAAGTTCCAAGACAATAATTTTTATTGTGCTGTCTTTTCTGCTTATGTTGACTCTGAAAATTTTTCTAGCCCAGTTGTACAATAAAGACACCTGAGGTTACAGTGTCCATCATAAAGGAGCTAAATCGAAGAGGAGTTCTTGCAAATGCCCTTGCAGGTCGGGATGAAAAGGAAATCAGTCGTGTTCTTAATTTTTTGATACGGTATGTTTCATGGGTATGAAACACATGTATTTTTACATCTAAAATCTTTTATCCCCCAAATGAGAGACATTTACTTTTAATTTGATCATTGTAGAGAACTGATACAACTCAGTAAATTTATTTTAAGTTTAAAAAAAAAATGTTGGCACGTTTTAATAAATAAATTTTGCTTTGTAGGAATCTGTCTCAGCCAAGATTTGCTTCTGTTTTGATCAATGCTGCTGAAATAATTATTGGTAAGTAGTTGTTAAAACTTGCAAAATCCTAGCATGCTTGCAAAAGTGAGATGTCAAAATATGAAATCAGCCTGGCCAGTGTGGCTCAGTTGGTTGAGCATGGTGTCATGCACCAGGAGATCACCAGTTTGAAATCAAATTTGGAACTTGTATCAAAATTTCTTGTTTTTATTAATTCTTCAAAGAAGATTTATTTATTTATTTATTTATTTTATTTTTTGTATCCTCACCCGAGGACATTTTTTTCTATTTTTTGTTCAGATAGAGTGTGGGAGGGAGAGAGAGAGAGAGAGAAACATCGACGTGAAAGGTACACATCGAGTGGCTGCCACCCGCACGACCAACCAGGGCCGGGGACAAACTGCAACCGAGGTACGTGCCCTTAGCGAGAACCGAACCCGGGTCTCTCCGGACCGCAGGCCGACGCTCTAACTGCTGAGCCAAACCAGCCAGGGCTTCAAAGAAGATTTTAATGGAGAAAACAACAGTAAATCAGTTCATTTAAAAATGGAGTAAAGTGTCTACAGTGGTTTGATTTTGAATTGCTGGGACTAGGGTTATGATAATAAAAAAATTTTTTTTCCTTAAACATCTACAATGACTATGACTCTTTTTTACTGGGAAAATAAAAATAAGTCGGAACTTCTGAGCTGTACTTTTTGTATCTTTTTTTTGTTGTTGTTTATTTTTTATTGTTGCCAGTATTACACGTCCCCAATTTTACCCTCCACTTTCCCTCTCTATCCAGCTTTGCCCCACCCATGCTTTCACCACACCATTGAAATACATTTGTTCAAATGCATTGTTTTACTTTCTGTAAATCACACATTGTAAAGTAAGTACAGGTTTTTCAGTGTCTTTATATACATTTTTATGCTTTTTCTAAATATTGTTCATTGATTGTTTGGAAAGATATTTCTAGTTAATGTGTTTTCTCTCTCTTGTTTCTAGATATATATCTGCCTGTGATTGGTCAGTCACCTGTAGTTGATAAAAAGTTTTTGTTACTTCAAGGACTTGTAGAAAAAGAGATTGACTACCAAAAAGAACTATTGGAAACCCTGGGGATGATGGATATGCTTTTTGCTACCATGACAAGGAAAGACAGCACTTCTGTGCTGCAGCTTGCGTCAGACGGACTTCCAGGGAGCCAGCGGAGAGAGTCATAGTGCCTGCTAGTGAGACACAGAACTACTAACTAGGATAGAGTTGATTCTATTACTGTTGGAAAGAGTCTCTCTGACACATTACCACAAAACTATTTACAGAAGCAATTTTATGGAAGAGACTGTAATAACTATGATTGGAAAATAAGTATTTGTTTTATGACATGGTTTTCCATGTAATAGTTTGAATTATTTCGTGACATCTTTGACTAGAAGATCTCAGTTGTCTTGGTCATACTGCACGTCCACCTTGGACAAGTCGAGACTAGTTTTAATGCAGGAAAGTTCTGTATCAGCAATTGGGTACACATTCAGAACTGTGGAGAGAGTTTCAACTGGGAATCATGCCAAAGGCACAGGGCTTTATTTTTTAATCCTAACCTGGAAGAAAAACAACAAAACAAATGGCAACAACAAATAAAGTATTTCTTTATTCAGTGCCTGGGATTTCCAGGCCCCAGCTGAGCCTGCTGCCCCTCTCCTTGACATCATCACTTAACCACCTAGGTCACAGGTTCTGCTTCAGCTGGTAATATGACTGTGGCTGTTCCCAAGTGTGGCAAATCAGCGGCCAATTCTGAATAATGGTATTCAGAGAGAGGGATGAGGCAGATTTGATACCTAAAAATTGGGCTCTCCACCCCAAATTTTCTTTTTCTTTTTTAAATGTCAATTATACTTATTAGAGCAAGGTCTATGGAGAGACCTTATTAGGACCGTGTTTTTTGTTTGTTTGTTTAATTCCCCTTAATAGGCAGTCTTATAAGTTTTCAATTTGCTTCAGGTCAGAGGAATGATAAAATTTGCCATTTCTCTGGTAATAAAGAGCCTTTTATACCTTTGTATTTTTTTCAAATATGTTTTTATTGATTTAAGAGAGAGGAAGGGAGAGGGAGAGATAGAAACATCCATGAGAGAGAAACTTCAACATCAATTGGCTGTCTCCTGTATGCCACCTGCTGGGGATTGAGCCTGCAAGCTGGGTGTGTGCCCTGACCAGGAATCGAACCTGTGACCTCTTGGTGCATAAGTCAATGCTCAGCCACTGAGCTACACTGGCCAGGCTTATACATGTGTTTGGAACTTACACTGTAGCTATCTACCTCTCTGGAAACCATTTTCTCTGATCTGTATTTAGATTTTTTTTCATTACACAATCATCTTGCAGTTCAGAACCCCAGCCAGAGTAGCTTGCTTTGGAAAATAGCTGTATTTTTTATTTTTATTTTTTATCCTCACCTGAGGACATTTTTGCATTTCAGATAGAGCAGGAGGGAGAGAGAAGGAAACATCGATGCAAGAGAGACACATCGACTCGTTGCCACCCACACAACCCCTACCAGGGCCGGGGACAAACTGCAACCGAGGTACATGCCCTTAGCGGGTCTCTGGACCGCAGGCCAATGCTCTAACCGCTGAGCCAAACTGGCCAGGCCAATAGTTGTATTTTTTTCAAGTTCAGTATAAATTACATTTTTAAATAAAGAGATTCTTATTTTTTCCTTGGCTTTCTGAGATGTATCAGTTGCTGATGGATAGTCACTGGCTATTTTCACACTTGCTACCTCTCCCATCTTCCCCCAATTCCTATCCCACCTCACTAATTAACTGTAAGGAACCATGCCTTGGGCTGGAAGAACATTTATTTAAAGATTTTATAATGGGAATCTCCTCTTAAAATTTATTCTGTGAATTCATATTATTTTTTTAAAACAGAAAAAATTATTTCTGTGTTCTGGTAAGGGCATATGCTCAAAAAGGGTCTTGTTTCCCTTTCCTGAATTGATTTAAGCAATCATACAGCACAATGGCTATAAGAAACCAGGAGTTTGCTTCCTGGAGTAATTACGAGACTAGTCAAGGTCAAACTGTCTGTTCATTTTGAGAAGGGTTCATTTATATAAATAAATTTGTATTTAAAAGTGTTTTTTTTTTTTTTAAATTAAACTTCATAAGTATGTGTACTAATAAAAATTAGAAGTTGAAATTCTATCTAAAACTAGTTGCCATCAAGTGTGTAGTAACATGCGACAAGGGTTTCCCATACATTATTTGATTCGCACAACCACCCAAGCTTGATATTTTCATTTAATATTGAATTCACTACAATAGTTAATTTCACTTGACTTCCCCAAGCTTGAGTTCTTTATTGTCCCAGCAGTCTGAACTGGTCTGCCTGCTGGGGCTGGAAGTCCTCATTCCTTTGGACAGAACTTCACTTCACTGAGAGCTGCAGTTGTTAGATGCTGTTTTGTATTTCAGTTTTCCCACTTACTATTTATTAGAGATTGCTCCATATTAGTACGTATAGCTCAGCTATATTCTTATTTATGCTGGGCTCCTAAGTCACTATATAGATGTGTCATAATCAATGGGCAATTAGATGGTTTCTATTTTACAGTCACAAGCAATTCTGCACTGAGCAAGCTTTTACATTTTTGTGCATTTTGAGTGGTGTTTACTGGGTGGGATAAGTTAATATGAATTCTGATCTAGAGAGGGAATCTTTGTGTCCCATCCCAAAGCCTGTTTGGTAATATCTCATCCCTGCTGCTCATCTTCATCTAAGGAAATGTCATCTGCCCTTCCACTGAAGACTGCTCACCAGTATCACTTCCAAGATGTATTCCTTGAAGACCTTCTCAGACAGGGTACTTTGTATTCCACAGGATACTTAATAATTATGGGGCAGGGGCTACTATTATTCCCACTCTGCACATGGTGACACCAAAGTGACAAAGTTGAGGTGACTTGTCCAAAATCATGCAGGTTAGTGGCAGATCTGGGATTTGAACTCAGGCAGTCTGGCTTGGCCATTACGGGAATAGCATTTCATATTCTAGAAACATGGGATATGTCCTTACTCATCTTTATCCTTGACATTTCACAATGCAAAGTTGGTGTTTAGCGAATATGTGCTGAGTGAACAAATGCTTATTGGATCCAGCTTGGCATTTCACACAGAAACAGTTTGGTTATACTGTGTATGAGCTGAAATTATCATTTTTCTGAGAGCTACAACTCAATGTTTCGGAAAGTGTTTCTCAACACCTATTGAGAATTTTAATCATTAAAGCAACTTACCTTAGCTCACTATTTGTCCACGAGGTGGCAGTATTATTTTGAAAATCATGGAAACCTGCTTTTCCATAGCCCTTTCTCTGAGTCAAGTGGGTCTTTCTAAGGAGTAAGGTGAGTTCTCAGAAAACAACCAAGATATTTGGTTATTATTATGTTGATAAAGTGGGTTCATAAACCATGTATAATTACTAAAAGCTAACCAGAAATATGGAAATAAGTCTCACCAAGGCCCTCTTTGAATTAAAGCTTAAACTTTTCAACAATGTAGAATAATGGAAAGAACATGAGCTTTATGATCTGGGGCAAGTTTCAGCTGCTCTGGGCCTCTGCTTCCATATTATTTTGATTTTCAAAATAATATTGCCACCTCGTGGACAAATGGTGAGCTAAGGTAAATTGCCCTAATGCATGGTTTGTTTCATTTGATTAAAATTCTCAATAGGCATTAAGAAACACTTGCAGAATGGGCTAATATCACCTCCCTCACAGGATTGTTGTGAGAAAAAATACAATGATATATATAAAAAGTGTCTTACCTACCTTATTGCGTTTTTCACGTCTGTGATTATGGAAAATCTACTTGCTCTACACCAGTTGGGAGATTTTTCTTAGCTTCCCTGATTAGTAACATCATTTGAATCCTTTAGATAAGGGTTGAGTTGAGGTTTTCTTTTCTATAAAGGATGTTTTCTAAATAAATCATATAAACCATAAAATGAGGGGTGTAACTGACTTGAGACAGACTGTTTACACGCATTTTGAAAGTAAATGGTATGATTTACAACATATACAAATAAGATGTTAGCCACTTATTCATGAAAAGTAATGTTAATTTCCATAGAATCATTAGTGTTGTAGTTGCAAATAGAATTGTTTTTAAGCACATTGATTAATGCAAACTTTTCCTTATTCAAGTTAACTGTATTAGATCAGACTGTGTGATGACTTACTTTACTGACCAAAAGGTTAAAAATATAAACTGTGTTAATTTAAAGAGGGTTGCCAATTCTCTATAAACATTACTATAAAACATTAGACTCATAAGAAGTATTATTTTAGTAAATTATATTAGTAAAGTGCTCCCAGTGAAAGAAAAAATGACCCCTGCATGGAAGCAGTTCTCTCAGAGGACACAAGTAAAAAGCAGTGGTCAGATTTTTTTTCTTTTATGACTGTCCACTTTAGGATAAAACATGTTGAGGCTTGCTGCCTAACCCATTCCTATCTTCCAGTGCGAAAAGATCTAAATAGTAACCAAGAGCTGAGAAAGAAGAAAATAGAAAATTGCAGTGCAATTTATTGACAGTAGTATATATTAATTTCCTTATTCTATAATTTCCAAGAGAATACTATGAGTTTATACACATGGTTTTCTACTATAAGATCTTTACTCATACACTTAAACATAACCTAGCAGTCTTATTTACTTAACTTGTGAGGACATTACAAGTTATTTATGATAGTGTAAGTAAGGACGTTACTAATGATAGGAAACTCTATGGTCAACTTGTAAAGAGGATTATGTAGAATTCTGCCTAACAATAACTATAAGGGTGATCAAAACTGGAAAATTGTGGACAATAATAATGATGGCCAAATCTAATAATATGCTTACTAAGGCACTATTCTCACCAGTGTACATATATTAACTTATTTAACCTTCACAACAACTCTGGGGTAGGTACTGTTACTATCTTGATCAAAGTTACTTTTTTTGCAAATACATATTTCTATACTGTTTAAAGTTGATACAAAGTAAACAATTAGAAACAAGGTTGTAACTGAAGTGGTGGATGCATTAGCTTGGTTGTCATTTTATTGCATACACACATCAAATCATTTGTTGTGCAATTTAAATATATACAATTTTTACATCTCTATTATACCTCAATAAAGCTGGGGAAAAAAGAATGAGCCACCTGAAAAATAACCAAGACTATTTGACAAAACTTTATTCAAATATATTTAACAAGTTGGGTTACATGGATGTTTTTCTTGAAAGTATAAGTGAACCAAATAGGTCCCAA